CCTGTGATTATACTTGCTAACCTGTTATTTTGTCCTTCCCTGCTTCTACTCTATTCTTTAACCATGAATACCAGTTTAGTGCCCTCCCCTGCTCCCCTAGCACAAATGAATGGATACAAACAAGAAGGAGTAAAACACTGACTCTCAGTAGTTGTGATTAGTAAGCACTCATGGAAGTTTTGCTTAAAAACACTTTTTTTTTTCATGATGACTTGCAGTTTTGTTATAGATAGTACATGATAGTAATTAGGAAGACTTTATGTGACTTATAAACTAGTCTCATAATGAACGCTGAGATTATATTGCAGTAGATTACAATATCACCTAGTGGTTCTATTCAGACACTTTCCAGGGAGATAGGAGGGAACACATTAAATGGGAGAGATACCCATTTACCCTCATCATTTCATTTTCCTTAATCATGTTCATTTTTAAAATTTGAAGCCTACAGAAAATTAGAAGAATAATGCAATATTGTCTATATGCCCCCCACTTATACCCCAAAACCTAAAATATTAACTCACATTACATTAGCATGTATTTCCTACACATAATTAAATCTTCCTACACAGCCAAATACATATACCACTGTTGCTGTTGCATTGGTGATGGGTTGGAGTTGGCAGTTATCAAATAGTCTCTCTAGTATTCTTTCTACAAAAATATGCCCAACTGTGGCCTTTCTGTTCACCCCATGTGGTGTCTCTGTGCCCCTGTGCGTGTGTAGGATTTGGATAAGGCCCCCTGCATTAAGACAAGGGCCCATATCACGAGGCAGCTGGGGAGCCCTAGGTAGCTACTGCCTGGTGGTGTGGGAGAAGCTCTGAAATTATTCCAAGCACCTACACAGGAAATTCTCCCAGTATATGTGGGCGACATGTCCCCTACAGGTCCCCATAAAGTTGATTCCCCTTGTCTCCCTTGACCCTGCTCCTCTTTCTGTTCTCACATAATCACACTCATTTATTACTGCTAATTAGTAGCAGGAGGGCTGTGTCCTGAGCAGCAGTCTTGCCTTGCAAACCTGCTCCAGGAATCGTCCCTCAGCATGTCCCTGAGGACACAATGACCCATTCTGGAGTCAACACCCAACTCAAGAAGGCTCGGTGTTTTACATTTAATTAGTGTAATGTAATAAAGTAATAATTTTTTTTAAAAAAGTGGTAGTGGCAGGTTTCTTCACTCAAAGAATATTTTGAAATAGTTTCTTCTGAAAATGTTTGAGAATATTTTCTAAGCGATTTTGATGCAGTATTTATCGCTTTGAAAATTAAAATATTTTCCTCTCTATTCTTTTCTTTCCTCTGTCTTTATTGATGTGTGATTAACAAATGAAAATTGTATATATACAGGTATTGAATGTGATGGTTTGATATACATACTCATTGTGAAATGATCACCATGGTCAAGGAAAAAAAAATCATGTGAGGCTAAATCAAACCTAAGTTTTTATACAAACAACAAATTTAAAAGCAACCAATGGACTGGAGAAAATATTTCAATGCATTATTCTTCTAGTTGTAATTGTCAGATGGCACAAGGATTCAGCACATCCTGGGCAGAACCCTCCCTGCCACAAAGCTCGGGAAACATCCAGTGTGATGATTATTGGTGGAAAAGAGGCTGAAGGACCCTTGGAGAATACTACTAGTTAGAGGTTGAGAAGATGAGGTAGAAATTACTAATGTTACTGCATAGGGGGTTTTTGTGAAGTGTTCCCCTCCCAGGAGGCAAGTAAATAATGTCATGGAGGGAATATAAAGAACTATGAAATGTAGTTGAAAAATCAAGTAAAATGAGGACTGACTAATTTTGGCATATTGGAGGTATTCATTGACCTTGACACAAGAGGTTTGAATAGATTTGCTTTCAAAGGAAATTGCCAGAGAGGAACTAATGGCAAAGCATGTGGACAACTCTTTTGGGAGTATTTTATAAAGGGACAAGAGATACGAGCTCTCCCTGGTGACACAACAGGTTAAAACACTACATTATGAAGCTCTCAGAAGCCACTGCAGCAAGAGTTCAATCCCAGGCCAGGGAGCTGACCCACATGGCATGGCAGACCTCTCTTGATCTGCCCGCTGCTCCCCTCAGCAGTGTACTTAGTCAATCTGCTTGTTCTGCTCCCCACTCTGTCTCTGGTCAATCCTCTCACCCACCACAACTCTGGCCTGTACCCCAGTTCTGAAAGTATAAATAAATCTTAAAAAAAAAAAAAATAAAGTGACAAGAGATCCAAGACAGCAACTAGACTACAAGGGGTATGTGACAAGGGAAAGAGGTGCTAGATGGGAAAAATTAAAGTATGGTTATAGGCTGATGGAAATGCTTAAGGGGAAGAGAAAATTGATTATATGAGTGAGGAATTAGTTACTGGAATAATTTCCTTTGCTGGGTGAGAGGTCTTAGATCTAATACACAATGGGCATAAGAGAATTCTTACATATACATTTTTTAAGTAACTTGTTCTGTACTCTGAATAATTCTCAAATCTATCTTCCAGTCATGAATTCAATTTTCTGAAATGGAAAGGTACATTTAAATTAGTTTGTCTATAAGAACTGGCAGGGAGCAGAGGATACGGGCACAGGCAGTTAGGCTGTTCTATCTGGTAGCAGCAGACTAAGTCCACTTCTTAGTCCTTAACCACTGACCGAATTAGAAGCTAAGTCTTTAACTGACGATGAGTGTTAGAAGGTGTACAAGGTTTTTGAGAACAGAAGATGGGACTTAATCTTGTGAAAGGGTGAATAGATGAATTAGGTAAATACGGGGGCGGAGGGTAGAGACAAGTGATTCTTTTGATTCTCAGCAGCATTTTTATCTATGGCATCTCTCCAAAGGGAGTAAACCCTGTCGTAAGTGAGGGAACTTTGTTAATAATAAACTTGGTTATGATAAATGAGAAAATTGGTGGATGAATTCTGTTCTTGACAGAAAGGAGGAGTGAAATCTGCAAGGAAAGTGTATATGCTTAGGGCTCCCCACCTCCCATTGACCTTGAAGAAATAATGCACAACCGACCATAGAGGATATAAGTTTTGTGATTAAACTGAGAAGAGTAGAAGTATGGGCCTGTGTTGGAGAATGTCACAGAGACCTTAGCTATTGTTAATGCTCAGATTCTGTTGGGAGTGAATTCTCTTGCTAGGGTCCTTGAGTGCTTTGTATATGCTTCTGGTTCTCTAATGGGTGAACTTGGACTATATGCTGTGTGGGCTTAGACACCACTGTCTTTTTGGGAATTTAATTGAAAAAAAAAGTGAAGACTTGCTAATATTGTGAAAAACATATAAAGTAATAGTAAGAATTACCCCAGCTTCAGTATAAATGTCAGTGAGAGAAAATTATGATAAAAACCCAAATTGAATTTTAGTTATCATGGAAACTATTTAACATTCTTTTCCTCCTGATTTCCCTGGTGAATTTGATACACTTCTCATTTTCCTTGCCAAGTGAAAGTTTTCATCCTATCATCTTTCCAGTTGTCTACATATCTAAATGTCTCATGGTGGTGTCTTGTGTATTTGAGGATCAAAAATTGAGTTAACAGCTGAGATTGAAATGCAGAGAAGACTGTTAGAAAATCTGGCAAATAGAGATGGTAACCTTAATAGTGGTTTAGGGTATATGTGTAACCTTTTCTCTAAGAACAATGTAGATTAATCAATATACATTAATTACTGCAGACTTAGTTGTTCTAGCATACTTGAAAATTTGTTACCCCACACAATAAAAATTAGTTCCCTATTCCATTATAAGTCCTGGAAAGATGTCCAGGGTGGGTTGACAACTCATTCAGACATCCATGCATTTCCCACAGTGTGGTTCTGACCCTTTGAGAGCCTACACTTGTCACCATCCCAGTGGGGACATGGAGTGAGTCTGGAGCAGCCAGTGAGCGGTTTCATGTATTAGACACATTCATTGAATTAGTCATCAGAGATGGCATGAACTCACATAGTCATACTCAGTGTGAGGGAATTTAGAAAGTATAACTGTAGAAATTCTAAGAAAAAGAAATGATTTTAGTAAACTTGTTAACTTTTTGTCATGTGGCCATGGCAAGAAGAGTACATTGCTGGTTTCTATTTATTGGACGACAGCTGTCATAGAGTCTCAAGTGTTTCTGATACTTTAGCTTTCTCTGTTTGGCTGTTGAGCTTTTGTAGTGTATTGTTCAATTTTATTACTCTTCAACTCTGACTCCTTCTGGTACTTTTTAGTCTCTTTGTTAAAATTCTGTGTTCATTCATTCTTTTCCAGAGTTTGGTTAAAAAAAAATTATAACCATTAATTAGAACTGCCATCAAGTAAATGATGATTTCATTTTATTAGGGATTTATTTCTGAAGCTTTGAGGAAGTTTTCTTACTCTTTAGAAATATTACTTCACTTAACACTGTCTTGACACCCAGTGATGCTATATAGGAGATAAACCTCAGTCCTTAGTCCAAGTCCAGATCCCTAGCTCTTAGTTATTTCTTAGATTTTTTTGTGGTTATCCAGCAGTCTATTTTATCATTAGCTTCCACTGGTGTGGGTGTATCAGGACCTATTAGCATCCCAAAGAGGAGGCTCTCATTCAGCAGCTAGATTCAGACAGTCTTGTGCTGCAGTCTTTTAAAATACACGCTCATAATCAGGCTTGTGGAAGCACAAACGTGAGATCATTAGCTACCCAAGCCAGGTGATTTGACAGTGTCCCTTAGAGAGCAGGCATAGAATCCTGGGCTCCAGACTCATGTATACATCCCCTTCCTTAAGACCTGACAACTGTGTATATATATATATATATATATACACACATAAACTCAATTCAAAGGTAGGTATAAGAAATTATCTCACATTTACCTTTTGAGACACACCTGAGTAGTTGAGTAGTTTCATATGCCCAAATGTCTGGATCTTTTGAGGGCACCAAAACTGAACAGATAATAAGGTACCATTTACTACTGTTTTTATATTTTAAGACTCTTTAATAATGATTATCTCAAGTGACAGAAATATTTACTGCACAGCATCATCTTATTGGCAGCTTTTCCTCTTTTGGAAATTTCACTTCTCATCCCTCTTCCTATAATGGATGGTTTTGGCTTTTCAATGACAACCATTCAGGAACATCCATGCAGTCATTTCTCTTGACTCTGAACTGGCAGGCGCTCTGGAGGAAGAACAGACTCCAATTTCTGCCAGCGTTCCGGAGGCCACAGGATATGTGTAGCGTGGGCGTGCAGGAGGCCAAGGGAGACCTGACCCAGGGGAAAGAGAAAGCAAGAAATTACTTGACAAGGATAGCATTTGAAGACTGAAAACAGAACTTGATACAGATGTGTTATTTTATGAAAGATAAGGTTAAATTAAAAAACGTGTGATACTATGCCAGGTGAGATATGTCTGTATACACATGTTTCTGCATGTGTACACACACACACCTTTAACTGCCATAGCCATCTGAGGTAGGTACTTTAGCTTTCTCAAATGCAAAGTAGAGCTAATAAGTCCCGAGGTTGAATCACTTGCTCCACGTGGTGGAGAATACCCCCCACCTAGCCTAGCTGTCACACTCTAGGGATGGCTAGCTTCAGGGAGAACTTTGTATCTCAACTTCCTACAGTGTTCCTGTAACTCAGAGGGACTTTCCTTTGTGGCAAAGTGATAAGGCAATATACATATATTGCAAAGAATAGTGCTCCAACTGTGGATGAGCAGTAAGAGTTAGGTGTAAGGCTGGGTGGGGCTGACTCCATGGAAGGTACAATAGCACAACCAGGGTGAGTACTCCTGGGTGGAGGTGGGAAGCCAGAGAGCTGGGACGGGAAGTGAGGGAAGAATCCAGTATAAAGATCAGGGCAGATGGCCAAGAACTCCATCAGCAGAAAAAACACTGTGGAGCCGAGGAGGCTAGAGAAGTAAACTTAAGACTTAGACAGGGAAGGATTCCTTAAAGACACATTAATAGCAACTGTGCTGTACAGAAGGGAGCAGGGTCCTGTCCTCAGACATCCACCCTTTTCAGTGGGCCTGAGACAGGCCTTGGAAAGCTGTCTCAGGTCACCTGTGGTCATTGTTACCAGTAATATTTTAGCAGCACTTGGAAACTTACAAAACACTCCCAGTTAGTGAATACTTATGAATTGCCAAATATAGACCAGATTCTACACATCTAATTTATTTATCATCATTTTCCAGTAAGTTAGAGCTCTGAAGAGATGAACAGGTAAATGTTGTTTTCTTAAGAGTTCTTCTACTTCCTTGCGTATATATTCAGAAAATTATATTGCCCAGAGACTCAAAAGTGTTAGATACCGAGGAACAGACTTCCAAAAAGATAGCCAGCAGTCAGTTTTAAAAAGAAAAACCTTAACAGTATGAAATAAACAAAAAAATAAGTCCAAGGGCACCAAGAAGCCTGTGGGTCTAATGAATTATTTTTTCTCCAATCTGTATTCTGAAAATCAAGACAATAGAAAATTTTAAAATATGGTATAAAAAATAGGCCAGATTATCAAAATTCTGCGGTTAGTTGTATTTCACCGTGTCCCTTTCATATTCATTATTCCTCCTTTGACCCGTGGTCCACAAGGTAGGCCTGCCCTGTTCTAACGCTCCCCTCTTAGTACCAGTTTCACTGTGTCCCATGCATGGTGATAACTCATCTTCATCCATATCCAGGTATTTTTTGATTTGTCTTTTTACTTCCTCATTGAGCAATTAATAAGTTGTTCAACAATATGTTGTGTCTACGTATTTGTGGCTTTCATCACTTTCCTCTTTGGGTTACATGTCTAGTTTCATGCCCTGAAAAGTTTTTTGATGTGATTAGTCCAGAAGTTTATTACAATTTGTTTTGTTTTCCAACCTATGGTCTACCCTTCAGATTACTCCAGGGGCAGTTGACAAAAATAGCTATTCTACGTGGAGGGGGTAGAGTGCTTCGTAAATATCAATTAAGTGATTCGTTTCCTTACTGATTTTTTTCTCTAGATGATGTGTCCACTGCTGAAAATGGGATGTTAGAAGCCCCTGTCTTTATTGTGTTGCTGTCAGTGTCTTTAGTTAGATCTGCTAATATTTGCTTTATGTATGTTGATGCTTCTACACTGGGTATCTATGTTGTGTTATAACTGCCTGCTATTTGAGCCCTTAATCTTGAGTAATGTCCATTTAACTTTTGGGCAGGGAATATGATAAAGTATAGCAATTCCTGCTTTGTAATTGACTTGAAGTACCATTTTCCATCTATTTAAGCTTTTGTTTGCCTTTATTTTTTAACTGAGTCTCTCAATAGCAGCATAGAGCTGAGTTTGGTTTTCAGTTTGTGCAGCCATTCTATGCCTTCAGTTTGTGCATTCAGTCTCTTTATATTGTGGATGATTACTGATAAAATGGCAGTAGGAAGTCCTCATATCTTTTCTGATTCTAGATTACCTTGTTCAATTTTTTTGATCAAAATTGACGAGCTCCTTTCAGCTTTTTGTGAAGACTTGATCTCTGAGTCCCTGTCATTGGCCTGCTTTCACAAAGATTCATGGCTCTCTCTGGCAGCCCTTCCAGTGCAGCCTGTTGGGTGATGCCTCAGCCTCAGCCTCCCCACCCTGTATCTAAAGAGCTGCCATGAAGGACTGTATCAGAGACCCCATTATAGATTAAGATTCTTCACAAAAAATATTTTTCTTCTAAAATCAAGGGCTCAGCTGCCTCTTGTAATATAAAGATTTCTTTTTAGCAACAATGGATGTATCATTGGTTGACAGAGTACAGGTTCATATCTCAATCACTGTGTATCTCACACAACTTTCACACCAAAGGTCTACTTTCATTTTACCACTATCTAATTGCACTTCACTGGTAACCACCATTTTTGTTTTTCAGACTCTAACGTTTATTGTTTTCTGTATTAATTTGCTTTATTTTCCACCTATAAGCACAACCACATAAGTCCTGTCTCTTTATAGCTTATTTCACATAGTATTGTCACCTGAGGGTGTTTTCAGGTTGTTAGATATGGAAAAATTTGCTTTGTGTTTGGTGAGTGGAACTTTATTGCACATGTCCTTATCCACTCGGCTTTCAGTGGAAGTGCCCACTGTGTTCCTGTCTTGGCTGTTGTGAGTAGTGTTGCAGTGAAGAGGGACACCTGTCTTTTCAAAGTAAAGTTTACAGAGCTTTGGACGAGTACTCAGAACTACCATGTGATTGAGCAAGTCTACCTCTTTAATTCTCAGAGGAGGCCTCCCTCCTGGTCTGCATTATGTCACATCTCTGCATTCCCCCAGCCATGTACCAGCTTACCTTTCTCTTCACACCTTTGCCATGCTTCTTGTTTCTAGTCTTTGCGGTAGAAGCTGCTCATGGTGTATGTGTGATGCTGAGGTTCTGATTTGGATTCCCTACTGAGAGATGATGCACTGTGTTTTCATGTGCCTATTGACCTTTTGTATATGTGTGGAGAAATGTCTATGTAGGTCTTCTGTCCATTGTGGGGATTGAATTGTTATTTTGTTAAGTTGCTGATTTCAGATAGAACAGCTTTTGCAAATAATTTTCTGAGCAGAAAATAAAACCCACACCTAGTGAGGCCAAAAAGAAGTGCTGAAAGAGTGATGTAACACATCCCAAAACCACCAAGAACTCCCACAGCCCCAAATTGGTACATTTGAGCATCAGTCAAAAAAATTAAAAAAGGTTATTTAAAGATTCTCGATACCACTAGCTCCTTGTATTTGATCTACCTGAAAATGGTAACTTAATTAAGAGACCTTTATTTCTTCTACCAAGGAGTGTTATTGAATCCAAGACCTGTATTAACAGTGTTCATTATCCTCAGCATTGTTAGTCTTCTGTATCGTGTTAGGGGCTAAATCTAAAAGAGTAAGAAACCCTCATTAAAGTATTCTTTATCCCTTCTTCCCTAGTGAACATAGAACGATAACACACATACACCTAAAACACATATAACTATGCCAACAACAAATTTACTGAAGAAAAGTCAACATTGTTTGCAATGATTTGATATTTAAAATTAATCTCCTTTTAAGAGTATAATGGTATTGTTATTCAAAATTCACTTTTTTCCCATCCCAGTCTTACTACTTGAGGTTCATTTGTTTCTATTTGTGTTAATGTTTGCTTTGGTTAATCCTTTTGTTTTAAATACATAAACATTTACCTGTTTCTTAAGTCAAAATTATTTGTGAAAGGTGTGATTGGCAGTGGCCCATCCACACTCCAAAGAGGTCTATGTTCTCATCCCCAGAAGGTATGAATATGTAACATTACAGGGCAAAGGAAAAGTAAAGATACAGAGCAGTTAACCTTAAAATAATGAGACTAACCTCTATTAGCCTTTTTTTATCCCACTAACATATTATCCAGAAGATAATTGCAAGGGTCCTTACATAAATAGAAGATAAGCAGAAGGGTCGGTCAGAGAGCACTTTAGTGCTGCAAAAGGGCCACAAGCCAAGGAATGCAGATGCCTCAGGAGCTGGCAAGGAAAATGCTTACTCCCTGGAGTTTCAGAATTAAGGCGGCGAGGCTGACTCCTTAGTATTAATCCTGTGAGTCTCATATTGCACTTCTGAGCCCCAGAACTGTGAAATGATGTATACCAGTTCAAGTCACTAGATTTGTGATAATAGCTTGCATCAGCAGTAGAAAATTAAAACAAAAAACCCAAAAGTTTCCATTTGCCAATGTCCCCGTAGTAGGTCAATTATTTTAAGGGTTTTTGCTTTATTCCTGTGTTTCTTTGGTGGACAAAGGGAGCTCAGGCTTTGTTGCCAAATCTACACAATGTGCAATTTAAACAAAATGCTGCATTTTGAAAATAAATAGCAAACATACATTGTTATTTTCCCTTTTTAATCCCAACGTGGAAATACTAAATATATTCCAGTGTTGGTTTTGGTTTCAGGACACTTCCCAGAAATAGAGCCAAGGTTTGTAACAAACGCCCCACCTTTAGGTGATTCAGTCAGTGGATCCTACTGGAGAGTCTAGAGCTGTACTTTCTGTTAGCTTCTCAATCAGGAATATGACCATAGTGAGCTTTAAGGAATTCTGTAATACATTCCAGACTCCCCTAAGTGACCACTGCAACTATGCTCACTGTGAGGAACCTGGATCTAGACGATCTACTGCAATTTCTCTCTATTTTTGTTCTTGTCTATGGACTCACTGGAGCTAGGTGTCAATAACCCTTTGTAGAGTTGATAGCTGCTACTCAATTGTTCTTTAAGTCTTTATT